AGAGAGAGAGAGAGAGAGAGAGAGAGAGAGAGAGAGAGAGAGAGAGAGAGAGAGAGAGAGAGAGAGAGAGACGTGGACGCAGCAAACACGTAGAGGACGACGCCTGTTTCGTTGCGCCTTCCCGCCATCGTTGACCTCCTCGTTTCGACGGTGCGCCAAACTGCCACTGTACACGCCATAGCAGACCCTGCCTGAGGCTTGCTTCAATGCCTACACTGGCACACTGTTTTTTCTTTCAGCCCCTCTTCATGTTCACATGAAAACGACGACCGGTCCTCCGTCTACCCCCTCGGGGTAGCAAAGTTGCTGTAGCCTGTAGGTCTTCCGTCAAAGCGCGCCGGTCCCCCGCCGTCGAAAATGTGCCACCTTGACACCGAAGCCTACTCTATACCGCACCCCTAACGGTCACCCATGATCTCGCTAACGGGGTAATTATGACTGCATCTGGACTACAAGTTGCCCCAAATACAGCACCAATAATGACCGCCGCCGCCAGAATGTATAGTATGTCAGACTGGGAAGCTGCGAAGATCAGCAAGCGAACCAAGACCAACAACTGCAAGCAAGCAAGCCACGCAGTATTAAGACCGGGTGCAAGGTCCCACTTGCACGGGATTAAGAGATTCTGGCCGTTGATCTTTGCAATCTACGATCAATATCGCTTAATAATTCGTGTAAGTGGGACCTAACCCCGGACGTACATCAGCATGGATGGACATCACTTGGGTGTGTGCAGAGGCAGTGTCTGTGAAAGATTGCCTGCCTCATCCCAAGGGCAAAGGGGTATGCAAGTGACCAGGCTTTATGTAAACGCCCGCCTGACGGCGCCTGTGTCTCTGCGCAGAGGCGCGGAGTCTTGAAGGAGTTTTGAGCCCACAACCTCAGAAGACCACAAGGCGCGTTGACAACCGGTGCCCTGAGCACTGAGATGACTCTATTCTTATTGGGGGTGTTGTCCTCGCAGCGATACCTTGGCCTGTTGGAGGGGGTGGGCTTTGGTGGAAGGGAACATTGCAGCTACTTGTGTGCCCACGGGCAAAGAAGGTATATATACGTATATATATGTGTATGTGTGTGTATATCAATATATATTGAGGGTTCAGCCTCCTGATGAGCCGGTGAAAGTCCGACGAAACAGTTTGTCACAGCCCCTCGTTTGTTGTCCTCTTCTCTCTCTCTGCCTACGGTTTACCGGGCAGTTCTGTTTGTGACGATATATAGTGGGGATAGATAGATTTCAAGAGGGGATGAAGACAATCGAGATCAATCGAGATCAGTCGAGTGTACGAGTCGAAAAAGAGGGAGAGAAAGCGCTCGCGCGCGCGTCCGTGAAGGGCGGAGAGAGAGAGAGAGAGAGAGAAGAGAGAGACAGCGCTCGCGCGCGGGCTTGGGAAGTGGGGGATGAGAGAGAGAGAGAGAGAGAGCACTCGCGCGCCCGGGAAGAAGGGGGGGAGGAGGCCTACAAAAGGTGTAATTGGAAGCGAAGAGTGGTGGTGGCATGAACGAGTCGGAGGAGGACTTGTGTGAACAAAGACCAAAGCCCTCACCGTAAGAGGATGATTTCCTCTCTTTTTTCCCCGCGGTCGACCGCAAGCTGACACGTGGACATTGGGGGGGAGGTGTTAATGTTCGCGGAACGACTTTTTATGTCCAAACGTCATCTGATTAGACTTGCTGCTAGAGCGAAGACTCACCTGAGTGCTATGCGCACTACCACCGTCTGCACATGAATAGAACGCCCGGTCGTTGTACCTTTATCCAGGGCAACCTTCAGTCTAGATGCAGTGGTAATGACCAGGCGTTCTGTTCGGGGGAAGACAGTAGAGGGGAGAGGGCAAAGAGAGGGGGAGGTAGAGAGAGAGTTAGGGAAAGGGGGGGGG